GTTTACAGAAGCTTTGGTCATAACTGCCAAAACTTGGAAGAAACCAATATGTCCCTCAGTAGGATAATGGATAAACTGTCAGATACCCAGAAAATGGAATATTATTCAGTATTAAAGAGAAATGAAATAGCAAGCCATGAAAAAAACATGGAAGAGGTTTAAATGCATACTACTAAATCAAAGAAACCAGTCTCAAAGGGCTATCAACCATATGCTCCCAACTATATAACATCCTGGAAAAGGCAAAAATATGGACACAGTAAAAAAAACAAAAAAACAAAACCAATGGTTTCCAGGGGTTCCAAGGAAGGAAGGGAGAATAGACAGAGCACAGAGGATTTTTAGGGCAGTGACACTACTTGGTAATATACTATAATGGGCAATATATGTCATTATACATCTGTCAAACTCATAGAATGTGCAACACCAAGGGTGAAACCCAAGATAAACTATGGACTTCAGATGGTAGTGATACATCAGTGTAAGTTCATCAATTTTAATAAATGTACCACTCTGGTGGGGGGGTGTCTATAATGGGGGAGGCTATGCATGTTTAGGAGTAGGAGATATTTGGGAAATTTCTGTACTTTCTATTCACTTTGCTGTGAACCCAAAATTGTTCTTAAAAAATGAAGTCTATTTTTAAAAAGAGAGCCATAATAAGATACTGAAAAATTAAAGGTAGACATAACAGGTCTCCAGCATATTGTTTGATACTCACCTTTCCTGAAACACACACCCCATCCTTAAGCCCAGATAAGTATGTGGCTTTCTTAAAATTGTTGGCATAAGCATCCAGAAAGAACCTGTCCAGAAATACCTCTTATAAAGTCACAGATCACGTGTAAGTCCTTAGCAATCGGTAATATGAAAGTTTCTGAGATTTAAAAAAGAACTTTATCTTTTGCAGATGATGTCACTAGCTGTACATGTTATTTGGGGAAATCTGGGAGATCTAAGAAAAGCTACATTGAGATATGCTGCTTCTGTCACTGCTTTATATGGCTACCTTGTTTCATCTAAGTTTCTGTATTATTTGCTAAAGTAATCAAAAATTTACTCTGGTGTGTGCATGCAGAGGAGGCAGGAGGTTTCTTCCCACCAATCTATAGACTACCTGAAGTGACACACTTACATAACCAACATGTCTATAATTAAAACGTCGCTACCTACCTCAATTTCACACTTGCTGTCTCCAGAATGCATCTTGCTTTTTCACATCTCTACTTGTTTTATTGCCCTCTGTGCCTGGACTGCTCATACTTGCCTCCCCCTCTGTTCTATTACCCCCAGCAACTCCCACTTTCTCACTTCGTGGAGAAGAAGGATCTAAGCAGATACCCTGGTAGGTGTCCACAACAGTACTTACCACTGTGCCATATTTGTTTTCTCTCATGTCTGATCCTCTGTTGGATTATGAGCCACCAAGAACCCGGCATGTTATCTCCATCTTTATATCTAGAGTGCTTATTAAAGGATGTACATATGTGCTAATTTAGAAATGGAATTTAACATCACAATAAAAAATAGCCCAGGGGAATCAAAGATCTGTGTTGGATGTCCTGCCTTCTTCCTCCCCAACTGCATAATTTCCCCTGCTCCTCTCCCCAAAATATTCATTTGATAAGTCATATTGCTTAATCTGAAAAAGCTCTTATAAAATACGTTTTAAGGTAAAGAAAAGGGAAAAAAGTATTTTTTCTGTACCCACCTTGAGAAGTCCCACATATAGGGCTAATTTCTCTAGAATGAGAGCAATAATAGTCTCCTCACTTTCTCTTCTCACCCCCTCCATTCTCATGTCAAAGATCCAGTGTTCTATCCCAGCAGAAAATTAATTCAAATACATCTGCATCCCCTGCAGTGGGAGTGGTATTTAGGAAGTGAAGAATGAGATTGCCTTTGGCACCTAACTAATGTGGCTACCACCGTTTAAGGTCAGTGCTTATCAAAGGTACTGAGCTTGGAGTACATCTGCTTAAAGTTCATTTCCTCTGTCACTACTCTGTGTGGAGCAGGTATCCAACAAATGTCACCCTTGATAAAAGTCGCTTACCTTTTAAAAGAAGCTGTTTCTATTTTCATGGCCATTTTAGATGTTCAAGATACAGGATAGTTGAGGGTTATTCTAACGTTGAAATTAAGAAAAGGTACAGACAGATCCCATAGTGACGAAAGGATGTGCTACTCAAGAATGGCCTCACAAGGTGACATTCCCAGGCTAAGTGCCATTGTTTGGCATCTGGTTCTCAGACATTGGTTTCTCGGTTCCTCCAAGTAGTTAGGTTGTTGATGACAGACTGACTCTAACACAAATCACATACTTATCAAGATGTCTACATAGATGATTTTTAGTGGCCAGTTTTCTTTTTCAGCAACAGCATATTTTCCTAAAAACAAACATTCTCTAGAGTTACAGCAAAACACAAGTCTGTACCATTGATTAAAGTTTCCTGACATATCTATAATGGCTTGAAGTATATTATTAGGTTCACGCAAAAGTAATTTTGGTTTTTGCATTGTTGATATTGACCATTTGATTCTGGAATACATTCTTAAATAAATATGGTTATGCTATACATCATTTTAACATGCATTTCCCATTATATATTTTTTTGCTAGTGACATTATTTATTTTATATTTATTTTAGACTATGGAAAATGTTAGAAAAAAAGGAAATTTGAGCGATTTTATTGTTTGAGTTTAAAATGGGCCGTAAAGCAGGGGAGACAACTCATAACATCAATAATGCACTTGGCCCAGAAACTGCTAATGAATGTACAGTGCAGTGGTGGTTCAAGAAGTTTTGCAAAGGAAATGAGAGCCTTGAAGATGAGGAATACAGTGGCTGGCCATCCGAGGTTGGCAACCACTAATTGAGAGCAATCTTTGAAGCTGAACCTCTTAAGACTACATAAGAAGTTACCGGGGAACCTCAGCATCGACTATTATACAGTCATTCGACATTTGAAAAAAATTGGAAAGGTGAAAAAGCTCAATAAGCGAATGCCTCATGAGTTGATCAAAAAAGAAGTCATCACTTCAAAGTATCAGTCTTCTCTTACTCTACACAATAACAAACCTTTTCTTGATCAAATTGCAATGTGTGACAAAAAGTAGATTGTATACAACAACCAGCAAAGACCAGCTGAATGGCTGAACCGAGAAGAAGCTCCAAAGCACTTCCCAAAGCCAAACTTGCATCCAAAAAAGGTCATGGTCACTGTTTAGAGGTCTGCTGCTGGTCTGATCCACTACGGTTTTCTGAATCCCGGCAAAACCATTGCATCTGACAAGTATGCTCGGTAAATCAATGAGATGCACTGAAAACTGCAACGTCTACAGCTGGCATTTATCAACTGAAAGGGTCCAATTCTTCTCCACGGCAATGCCTGACCACACGTCACACATCCAAAGCTTCAAAAGATGAACGAATTGGGCTGCAAAGTTTTCACCTGACTTCTTGTCAACCACCTACCACTTCTTCAAGTATCTTGACAGCTTCTTGCAAGGGACAACACTTCCACAATCAGCAGGATGCAGAAAATGTTTTTCAAGAGTTTGTCAAATACCAAAGCACAGATTTTTATGCTACAGGAATAAACACATTTATTTATTGTTGGCAAAAATGTGTTGACTGTAATGATTCCTATTTTGATTAATAAAGATGTGTTTGAGCCTAGTTATAATGATTTAAAATTCACAGTCCAAAACCATAATTACCTTTGTACCAACTTAGTACCTCTTAAACTTACATTCTTCTTTGTTGTGTTTTCTCAAGTCTTAGTAAACTGTTTACCTATTTGCAGGATTTTCCACAAAATAGTGTGGAGACATTCATCATGCTCTGGTCTAGATCTTCCATACAGGCCATGAGACAAGAAGGGCGAATTGATCTCCACAAAGCACATGACCAGAGAGAGAGAGGACACACAGCTACTATTTATTTCTGTTCAAGAGGACTAGACTTAACTACACAGATTTAAATGGTCAGATCTTACATCGAAATAAAACCAAGCCGCATTATCTCAAAATTAGGGTTAGACATTTTATGTGATAAAACACTATATCCAGCAATGCTGCCTGTGAAGATCTACTAGGAATCCTGGGCTGGAATCCTAACCCTGGCCTCTTGCTGGCTGGGTGACACTGAGCAATTCACTGAGAGTCTCTGGGCCTGTTTCCTCCTTTTCTGAAATTAGAGCACAATGAGGTACAGTGGTTAGGTCCTCAAGTCAACAGGCAAGAGGGCGGCGGACCTCAGTAGAAATTACCTTCGAGAAATCACCAGAACTACTCATAAGTACAGTATACTGGCTTTTGTGTACACATCACTATACAGTAAGTCCTAAGGACAACGAATTTTGAGCAACCAGAGATAAACTAAAGAAACAGTTCTATAGATCCATTTGAGTTACTGCAAAGCTAGAATGGTATAAGAAGATGGCTTGGCTACACACTGAGGCCGTCCTGGTTTTCCAGCTCTGTCCTCACTAAGGGGGGTGTGGACGGAGAACGCAGCTCTGGTGGCTTAACAGGTAGTGTCCTTCCTTTCTTCGCCCTCTAGATCCCAGGAAACCGTCCCTAGCAACCGTCTTAACGCGGTTACGCCCCAGCCAAGGCCACTGATCTATCCAGCGAGTACTTGAAGGGAAGAACCTGGCGCGACTCGTTTGGGGTTCCCGCGCCGGGACTGGCACTTAGAAGCGCCGTCGTGAATATTTGAAGATAATGTCTGATTATCATTTACCCTAGATCAGGCTTGGGCTATTTCGAAGTAATAACGACATCAGGCACATTCTCAACTGGCTCACAGCGCGACCTCGCAAGCCCCGTCGGGTTTGAGCTCAGGCACGGCTTAGCCGCGCCTCCCCGCCCGCCTCCGAGCTTCCGTAGTCTCGCTGGGTTTCGCGAGATCACGGGTGAGCTCCTCCGCTCAGCGTGGGGGCGGTCCCGGAACACTTCCGGGAGGCCACCATGGAAGGGAACGGGCCGCGGGCTTCCGCCAGCCTCCCGGCTGCCTCCTCGGCCTTCCAGTCCTCAGGGCTCGAGTAGTGGGCGCGCAGCGGGGACCAGCAGCCCGCCTATCGGGGGGCCCGGCTGTCTCTAACCATGGACCGGGATCTTCTGCGGCAGTCGCTGAATTGCCACGGCGCGTCACTGCTGTCTCTGCTCCGGAGCGAGCAGCAGGACAACCCACACTTCCGGAGCCTGCTGGGGTCTGCTGCCGAGCCCGCCCGGGCCCCACCACTCCAGCAGCAGCTGCAGGGCAGGTAGTGAGACGGTGGCACCTCTGCGAGACGGGGAAGGGGACGCAGCGCGGAACCCCTGGCGCGACTGGCGGTCGCGTCCCGAGAAAGTGGCGCCGCCGCCGTGGGCACGCGAGGGCTGCCGCGCGGGGGGCTGCGCTCGAGGGTCGGCGCCCCTACGGTGGGTGCGCTGCGGGATGCAGGCTGAACTTCTGTGCTGCCTTTCTGTCGCTAAAAATCCTTGGGGCTTTCGTGTCTGGGCCGGAGACTCCGCTTTGTAAGTTTCTCCGCCTCCGGCTTGGTGGATGGAGGAATGAATGAATGCCCGTTAAAAGTTTCCATGAGGGTGTGCAGTCTGGAGCTTAGCATGGAGCGGGTTCGGGGATGGAAGCCACAGGGCAGACGTTTGGACATGAAACAGCTTTGCCGCTGAAACCAATTTGCGTAAACTTTGTTTCCTTTTAAGAAAAGAGAAGAGAGTGGACAACATTGAGATACAAAAATTCATCTCCAAAAAAGCGGATCTGCTTTTTGCGCTCTCATGGAAATCAGATGCACCGGCAACGTCTGAAGTTCACGAAGACAACGAAGGTGAGTTTAGCTTCAGAATCTGTTTAAGATTGTGGTTTGGTTTAACAGTACTTCAGATGGAACGGAGCTCAAAACTGTTGTTGATAATTTTCTGTCCATTATTTTTTCAGATCATTTCGCAGTCATGCCACCTTTAGAACAATTCATGGAAATACCAAGTATGGATCGGAGAGAGCTGTTTTTCCGAGATATTGAGCGTGGTGATATAGTGATTGGAAGAATTAGTTCCATTCGGGAGTTTGGTTTTTTCATGGTGTTGATCTGTTTAGGAAGTGGCATCATGAGAGATATATCCCACTTAGAAATCACAGTGAGTTACTCACTTTTCCATTATTTGGATTGTTTCTGTTTTTGATAAGTCATCTCAATGCCATAATTATGCCTGCATCCAGTCGTGCTTAAGTATACCTTCCAAGACTTTTGGGAATTAAATATTAGTTGGAGAAAAACAAAATAGCTTTACCTTTTAAGAAATTATTAGTGAAAGACGTATATACACGGTTCCTTTCTCCATTTCTGAATTTGGGGATTTTTTTGGACTCTTTGTTGGCTGGGACAGTGTTGTTTTTTAAAAGCTCAAAAAGATATCAGTGGACATGGTGAGATTGATTGGCATTCTGGAATTATTTCTTTGGCTGCACATACCTATTCATAATTATTTGACTTTAGATGATTGTATGTGGATGATTTGGAGAAAAATTTCTGTTATTTATATACTTACAATAATTAAGTGTGATTTGTACATTATAAGATACTTCATCCAAGATGAGTAGTCCTGAATTTAAATTATGTCACTTTAAAAGATTGGATATTTGCTACAGGCAGATGAAAAGGAAGAAAAGCAGAAAGTATCACAGACTGGATAACAGACATATAAACTTTGGAGAATTCACATTCCATTTTTGTTAGAATCCCTATGCTTTTTGGATACATTTTAGTTAATTTTGGGTGCATGCAAAATACTTTTTTTTTTTTTTTTATATAACCCATAAATATGTTTGGTTCCTAAAACTAATGGAAAGTTGCATGAGATTTTAGTTTTGAACTGAACCAGAAAACATGTCTTACTTTGTTTGGATATGAAATTACTTTTAACTAAAATCTTTGTTTAAATTTAGATTTCAGGTTGTTTGCTGTTTTTTAATGTCATGTCAACTGTTACCTGTTTATATTGAACAACTAAGATAAAAGAGGAACTGTTCTCCCCAAAGATTGAAATGTCTGGTGTTTTAAAATACTTCTCATTGCAGGCTCTTTGTCCATTAAGAGATGTGCCTTCTCACAGCAACCACGGGGATCCTTTATCATATTACCAAACAGGTGACATCATTCGAGGTGATTAGTTTCCTCATGCTAGTAAAAAAGTGACGGTTGTTGAATTTTTGTTTTTATTGATTTTGAAAGCGTAGTCTGTTGAGAGTGATGTTTGGGAAGTTTTTTTTTTAAAATGTTAGTTTACATTTTCTTATTGATCAGCTTAGTTCTCTCTCTTGTTTTTTGTTTTTGTTTTTTTCTTAAGCTGGAATCAAGGATATTGACAGATACCATGAAAAGCTTGCAGTATCTCTGTATAGCTCATCTCTTCCACCACACCTATCTGGTATTAAATTAGGTGTAATTAGCTCTGAAGAGCTTCCTTTGTACCACAGGTAATTTATCCATGTTATTTCAACTACAGTTCATCATAAAAGTCTCTTGGATTTTAAAAAAAAAAATGGAAATTTTGTTAAACTTTTGACAAGAATGAGGAATTTTAATTTCTCTTATTGCAAAATGTGTTTATTTTATTTTTATAACCCTTAAATTGCTTCATATTTGATAAAAGAAACCATGCCATATTGCCCCACCTTCATATATAAAAATGGTATTAATATTTAAACCTCATGATAATATTATTTCTTTAGTAGAAATGGTATATGCAAATTTATTGGTCATTGTTACACTTTTGTGTTTTGGTTTTTTTTTTTTTTTTAGGAGGAGTGTTGAGCTAAATAGCAATTCTTTAGAGTCTTATGAAAATGTCATGCAGAGTTCCTTGGGATTTGTTAATCCAGGAGTAGTCGAATTTCTTCTAGAAAAACTAGGAATAGATGAGTCTAATCCACCATCTTTAATGAGAGGCCTACAAAGGTATAGTAAATCAATATTATTCTCTTATGAGGGTAGTGGTGGTAAGCTTAGAAACTGCATAGCTAAAAGACATGTGACTAGCCTAAACCTAGTGGCAGGATATATGAAATGTTGAATGAACCAGATGATCCCATCTCCTAGATTGGACTCTCTTCTCAGTGATTAGATGTGTACATGTGACCAAACATAGAAGGATGCAGAAACTTAAAAATTATATAAATTATAAATTTTTAAAACTGTAAAAATACTGTTTAACTATAATCATTTCTGACAGTTCGAATTTTGCTGTGCAAATAAAATACAGATTTCTTGCTTGGAATTCACATTCAGTGTTGAATGCCTTCTTTTCAGGCAGAGTGAGGTATAGTTATTTTAAAAAGTACTTATGGTTTAACTTTTATTTTCTTTAATAGCAAAAATTTCTCTGAAGATGATTTTGCTTCTGCACTGAGAAAGAAACAGTCTGCATCTTGGGCTTTAAAATGGTAAGAAGACTGTCTTTCAACAATTGCATTATCTAGTTTAAAAGGTTAGGGTAAGGCAGCCATACTTATATCCTGAAGACCAAAATTTGTTTATAAGTGTATTAAAGTAATGCCTTTTTGACATTAGCTTTTCTCTTACAGGTGTAAGTAGTCCCACATTGTACACTTAGCAGGCTTTTTTATTCAGCATTTTCAGTTTTTTTCAAAAAGAATCAGTACATATATTGACATCTGGATTTCATAAGTGATTGTTATGAAAATATCTAAAGGCAGAATTCTTGGGTATATTGAGAGTACTTTGAAAACTAAATATTTGCCAAATTTGGTGGCATTTGTTTTTTAAAGTTTATTCACACTACTGTTTTATTTAGGTGTTCTTTGAGGTGTTTGTGATGCTTTACAAATGTCTTTTTTAGTGTGAAAGTTGGAGTTGATTATTTCAAGGTTGGACGCCATGTAGATGCTATGAATGAATATAATAAAGCTCTGGAAATAGACAAACAAAACGTGGAAGCTTTGGTAGCTCGTGGAGCATTGTAAGTGAATCATAGATTTTAAAGAATGCTTACAAGGTAAATGTGAACAAGATTTATGAATAGTTCACAAGATAAATTCCTCTAATTTTGTTTTATGCCTCTAGATATGCGACAAAAGGAAGTCTGAACAAAGCAATAGAAGATTTTGAGCTTGCATTAGAAAACTGTCCAACTCACAGGAATGCAAGAAAATATCTCTGCCAGACACTTGTAGAAAGAGGAGGGCAGTAAGTGTTTTTTAGTAGTAGAGGTCTAATATTCAACCACCTACTATATGTATACTACTTAATATAAAGAAATTGCACTTTAACTCACTCACTTTAAAACCCACTTTGTTTCAGTGTTAAGTATAGTCCTTTTAAAATTTAGTCCCTTTTCCTGCCTTATTACTGAGGTTCTTTATAATTAGAGATATTTTAGTGTCTCAAGTTCATGTTTGAATGATCTGCTCATTACAAGGAAATATAAATGGAAAAGCGCAAGAGATTAGGAAGCATTTTTTCCCTAGACATATACTTGAAGCTTTTGTTTTAATAATGATGAATTTAATTTCTAATTCATTTCATCATTCTAGTATATAATGTCAAATACAAATTGTGTGCTCTGTGCTTAATGGTGAATAAGATTGTGCTGCTATATTCGGCTTATTACTCTTTCCAGTAAAATCCACAAATTCAGAGTAGATAGAAGACTAAATTAAGAACAAACCTACAATCATGTACAACTTTGAGAGGCTGGCATAATGCCTGTCGTACATAGTGATTAACAGACCAGTGTTATTTATGAAGTATTTTGAAGAAACATAGTGTTTTAAACATAAATAATTTGGTAACAGCCTGCTTTATAATTAAAAGGCAGTTATAATTAGTAACATCCTTTTGCTTTTGGTTTTTGAAAATAGATTCTTCTGTTTCAAGAACTTACCTAATCATTCCTTTTAGCATGGTAATTCCGGTTTGAATGATCACAAATTCCAAGTTAGGAGATTTTGCAATGTTTGTTAATAACTCATGGGAACTTCTAATTAATTATTGGAGTAGCTTTTTACATTCTTCCTAGGTAGGTAGCTAGTATCTACTTAGATGAGATTGTCTTATTACCATCATATTTATGTCTTTTAGCAGAGAGAATGGTAACACCATCCAGCTACCCAAACCAGAAATACTGGTCATCTTTAACTCGGCTCTTAGGCTTTTACTCCCCACGTCCAATCCATGGACACAAAATTGATCCCATTGTGTTTGTTTTACAGTCATTACTTTTTCCTTCTGTGCACCAAAAACATTTTGCAAGTGCTTTCACTACTCTACCTAATTTTCCAGATGTGATTTTTCATAGCATAGACTTGTGAGCTTCATCTAATGACTAACCTATCTCCAGGCTAATTGTGATACACACATATGTGTTGGTATTTCCAAAGAACTTCAACAGTGAATTTTCTGGGTAAAACTTTGTAGAAGGAAAATTTTTTTAAACTACTGGAAAAAAATACTTGCCTATATAATTCTATGGTAAAGTTCAAGATCGTACTAAATTTGGAGACATCAGTTTATCATGTGTTTTTATATATTACTGCAAAAATGTGCCAGTATTGTATATATAGCATGACTTTAGCTACTAGTATAGCATGGCTTTAGTTACTAGTAATTGACTCCTATTTCTTTAATTGGTCAACCAAATAAATTACAATAAAAAGCACATGATTTACATACTTTTTCTTTTTTGAGCATAATTTGCTAAATGTAGCTTTTCCCTAATAGGTTACCTTATAAAAGCCTCTTGACCTTTATATATATTTGGGTACTTTTGTTGTTTTTAACAAAAAAGCTAAATCTTTATTTTAAATTTAGGTTAGAAGAAGAAGAAAAGTTTTTAAATGCTGAAAGTTACTATAAGAAAGCTTTGGCTTTGGATGAGACTTTTAAAGATGCAGAGGATGCAGTGCAAAAACTTCATAAATACATGCAGGTGATTCTTTATTTCCTCTTAGTAATTTCATGGTATTTAAAATTAATGCCAAAATTTAATTTTCTTCTAGGGAAAACTATTCTAGATTTTACTTAAGGCATTATGAAGTTTCTTTTTAGGTACAGCTTTTCCTAATTCAGTTTGATACTATTTTATAGCGAAAAGAAAAATGCCTCTTCTTTTTTATGTTTGTACTCAAAAGTAAAAATAGCCCTGTAAGAAAATTCCTAAATGTGGTATATGGTTTTAAGATCTCTCCTTATAGAGAGCGTACCTGGTAGTTGTAACGTTATAATGTTATCAGTGTTGCTACTATAATTGAGCTAATCATAAAAACCTTTTTGAGACATACTTTAAACTGCCTTTTCCTGTAATACTGATGATGATGTTTTCTCATGCATTTTCTTCCGAACTGGACCGTTGCTGCTGTGTCTGTGACATCTGGTGCTGCTCATCCCCATCCACAAACTGGAAAATGATTTCTTATGTAATCATGCATCCAACTGGGCTGTGCTATTTTTTAAATGGTTTGTATTTGAACATGGTGATTCCTCCTTCAATTTACCTTAATGGAATGTCTTTATTTGAATTTTATTTGTAAAATCTGTGTCCTATTTAAATTTTTTAAATAATTTTTTTGTATATCTTTTTTTTCTTTACCTTTCTTGCACTCTGGGTCATGGGGATCACTGCAATGGCTTCCCCTTTTTTCATGGGATACCAACTGCAATATGGTCCTCAATATCATTCTGGCCATTCAATGATTAATGCCAAACATTTGTATGGTTAATTTTATTTTTTATGTTAAAAAAATGCTGTTTAATGCTGGCTCTATGGTGATTTGGTTTTGCTAAATTGGGTTTCCGGTTGGGGGGGTGGTCTTTTAAATATTGGGTTTTATATATTCTGCTATTTTTAACGTGTGGTTTTTTTCGATATCTGGGTTCTAAAAGAAATCTTTGGAATTAAGAGAAAAACAAGCTGAAAAGGAAGAAAAGCAGAAAACAAAGAAAATAGAAACAAGTGCAGAAAAGTTGCGTAAGCTCTTAAAAGAGGAAAAAAGGTAAACTATAATATTCAGTATTTTTTTAATTTAAGGCAACTGCTGAGTTGAACCCAAAGTGCCATGTGGAGTTGAAGTAAGTAAAAAAATTTAACGAAAGTATTTCAAGTGATAATTAATGGTTAAGAATTGTCAAGAATGCAAGTATGTGTTCTACATATTTTTCTATTGAAGAAGTTAAACAAAGAGGAATCTTAAGGCTAGAATTTTGCAAAGGAAAAAAAGGAATACAATTAACCTTATAATTAAAATATAGAATAAGCTAATTTAATTATCTGGATTTTAGGAAGAAATATTTTAGAATTAGAGTAGCAGTTCTCAACTAGAGGTGAATTTGTTCCCTAGGGAACATTTGGCAATGTCTGGAGACAGTTTTGGTTGTTGTATCTAACAGGTGCTACTGGTCAGGGATGTCATTAAATATCCTACAATACACAGGACAACTCCCATGCCCAACAAAGATTTATTTGACCAAAAATATCAATATCAAAAAAAAAATCAATGAAACCATGGACTAGAGGTAGCCAGATGTAAAACTTCAGTTCTCTCCTGTATGTATTCAGGTAGTCATTAAGTTTTTAAGGTGGTGTTGGAAAGGTCACTATATCTTTAAGAAATGATAGATTTGCTTGCAGTGATACCTGTCTCTGCAGGCATTTTTTTCCTCCAAAGTTATGCTTAATGGTAAAATTTGATCTTGTAGTATCTATGATTATTACATTGTTTATGTGAGCCACAGCTTTTTTAAATTTTTAAAGGATCAAAGTAGGACCAAAATCTTAATGATTTAGTAACATTTTTGTACTTAACATATCTGATGAGTTAACTACATCTTTTAGGCTAAGGAAGAAAAGAAGAAAATCAACTTCTTCCTCTTCAAGTGTTTCATCTGCTGATGAATCAATTTCTTCTTCATCCTCTTCCTCTTCTGGTCACAAAAGGCATAAGAAACGTAAGAGGAACCGTTCAGAGTCTTCTCACAGTTCCAAAAGGCATTCATCTAGGGCATCCTCAAGTCAGGTAGATCAGAACAGGAAGGATGAGTGCTACCCAGTTCCAGCAAATACTTCAGCATCTTTTCTTAACCATAAGCAAGAAATGGAAAAATTACTAGGAAAGCAGGATAGGTTACAATATCAAAGAACACAGGTAAAAGAGAAAGATAGATGCCTTCTCTCTTCATCTTCAGTTGATGTACTGGAAGATTCTGGAGGTAGGTCTGAAGAGCCAAGAGATTTTTATAGTAGCTATAAAACGCAGGCAGGCAGTAGCAAAACAGAAAAGCCATATAGATCAGAAAGACATTTTTCTAGTCATAGAAATTCCTCAGATTCCTCTTGTAGGAATTCAGAGGACAGGGTTTATGGTTATAGGAGATTTGAGAAGGATACAGAGGGAAGAAAAGAGCACTATAGAAGGTGGGAGCCAGGTTCCGTGAGGTATTCTGCTTCACCTGCAAGCTCAGACTATTCTTGGAAGTCAGTTGAAAAGAACAAAAAGTATACTTATTCTGGATCACGTGATTTCAGTAGACAAGAACAAAGATACCGATTAAATACAAATCAAGGAGAATATGAAAGAGAGGACAGTTATGGGGAGGATATCAAAACAGAGGCTCCAGAAGAAGATGGACTAAATAGCAAAGAGCACTCAGAAAGCAGCATTAAAAAAAACTTACCTCAGAATTTACTGAATATATTTAATCAGATAGCAGAATTTGAAAAAGAAAAAGGAAATAAGCCAAAAAATTAACATGCCAAGGAAATCACCAGTATGCTAAATGCTGTTAATTAAAATTTGGGGGTGTTTTCGTTATCATAGTCAAAAGTACAAAAATCTCTGCTCCTAAAATTATTTGAAGAGATTACAAAAAGCAAATGCTTCTCAAATTTTACTTCAGTTCTAAGTCCCCTTATCACAGCCTGATTTTTAGGCTTTTCCATTTGTATGTTTATGTACAGTATATTTCTTACTCTAATAATTTAAATTTCTTCACCTAAAGATAATTATCTGAAAGTACTGTTTCTTCACTGTATTATGGCATATGAGAATTCCTGGGTCCACCTTATCCTGCTGTTTGACAGAAAATTAAATTTGTGCATTGAACACTTGCATCATTTTCATCAAACATTATTTCGTTTTCTTTTTAAATTAAAAACCATCAGCTTTTTGAAAAAAGTATGTTTGAATGTTTCTTGAGTACTATTTTATATGTATCATTAGTTTAAATATTACATTTTTTGCCCCACTCTTATTTTAAAATGCTAGACTGTCTGTTTCTAAGGCATGGTTTGATTAAAAATGGTTTGTGTTGGCGAGACCTCGTCTCTACAATAAATAAATAAATAAATAAATAAATGAATTAGACAGGCGTGGTAGCGCATGCCTGTAGTTCGGCTACTTGGAAGGCTGAGGTGGAAGGATTGCCTGAGCCTAGCAGGTCAACACTGGGGTGGTCATGAGTGTGCCACTGCACTCCAGCCTGGGCGACATAGTAAGACTCTAACTCAAAAAAAAGGTTTGTGAACAGTCATTGGCTTCTATCCAGCTTGTCTTAGGAATAAGATCATGAAAGTTGAATAGGAGCCCATTTTGTGCATTTCTCCATAATTATTGCCAGCATTATAGCCATAAGAAATTTTTCAACTTTAAATATTAGCAAGAGCTTTAGAGACTATATATTCTAGGCAAGAGTGGATCAGAAAAAAAAGAATCTTTTTAGAAAAAACAGCAGTGGCAGAGAAGCACACTCTACGTTTGGTTTTTCACTAGGGAAAGAAAATTAGGAAACTTAATATTGCAAATGTTCAATCCAGAGGACACTAGGTATGCTTTCAAATAGCCTAAGTTTGGCCTGCATTTCTACTTTTCTTCTTACCACCTCCTCTGCCTAAATTCTTCCCTGCTGCCTCCTTTCTCGGGATCTGAGTAAATACTTAGACCAACCAGAGCCTGGTTTTGCTCAGAATAAATTCCAGTAGCTAGAACTGAAAAAAGGGGAAAACTTGGATTATAAAGATCATCCCCAAAATACTAGAAACAGTATAGTGTATTGTTTGGGAGACAGAAATCATAGGTGTTAGGTTTATCATATCTTTAGAATCTTACCAGTTTAAGATTCTAGAAGCTGGCTGAGTGCAGTGGCACTTGTGCTTTGGGAGGCCAAGGCAGGAGGATCGCTCGGGGCCAAGGGAGTTAATGAGACCCTGTCTCTACAAAAAAAAAAAAAATCTAGAAAAAAATCTAGGCTTTGATACTGTCACTTATGACACTGGATGGATATAAGTGGTTGGGTAGATGAGTGTCTACAGAGGTCTGAGAGCAAATCATAGAGGAAGAAGAGACATTTCTTATTTTTTCTTGCAGTTCTTGCCAACAATTAAAAAAAAACCTTAAGTGTCAGGTGTGTATTATTTGTATCTTTCACTCCAATGTTGGGAGCCATATGGAAAACCTAAAATTTGTTTTGTAGTGGAACCAGAAGAAGAAACCCTAGTCAAGAGCAATAGATGATGGCAGTAGAATTGGGGCATTCACTGAATGTTCTAAGAAATTAATTTTAAAAGTGTTCTCAGTACTATGTCTCAGTGGCTCTAGTATCATCTTTACATACAGGGTGGTGTTTTTAAAGAGTGAAAACTATTAGCCAGGCGTGGTAGCGCGCGCCTGTAGTTCCAGCTACTCGGAAGGCTGAGGCGGAAGGATCGCCGGAGTCCAGCAGGTCGAGGCTGCGGTGGCCGGGAACCGCCACTGCACTCCAGTCTGGGTGACAGAGTGAGACTCCAACTCAAAAAAATAAAAAATAAAGAGTGAAAACTATCTCAGCACAGCCCTTGGCCTTTTAGCATTTCTAGTATGGCTTACAATTGTACATATACAATTTGTTTTTCTTTTTTTTTAAGTATAAATTTAAAGCAAGGTACAAGTGTAGTTTTGTTCCATAGATATATTGCACATTGGTGAAGTTTGGGCTTTTACTGAACCCATCACCCAAATGTACATGGTACCCATTAAGTAATTTCTCATCCCTCACCCTCCTCCTGCCCTCCTAACACTAGTGTAGGCAAACTCATGACTGAGACCCCAAATGCACAAGTGATGAAAGCAAAATGGAACTTAAACTAAAAAACTTCAGCACGGAAAAAGAAACAGAATGAAAAGAATCTGCAGAATGAAAGAAAATACTGATAAACTGCATCTGACAGGATATCCAGGATTTACAAGAAACTCAACAACAAAAATAATCTCATTAAGATACGGGCAAAAGACATGAATAGCCATTTTTCAAGAGAAAACAAATGGCCAATAAGCATATGAAAAATTTTCAACTTCATTTCATAGAGAAATGCAAATTAAAACCAAAGTGAGGTCTTTCACCATTCGGAATGGCTATCATATGCAACATTTTACTTAAAAGTTGGGATAAGCCGGGTTCGGTGGCTCAGCCTGTAATCCTGCGCCTTTGGGAGGCTGAGGTGAGTGAATTGCCTGAGCCCACAGGATCGAGACCCGCCTGGGCAGCGAGACCTCATCTCTACAATAAATCAAAAAAATCAGCTGGGCGTGGTAGCGCATGCCTGTAATTCCAGCTACTTGGAAGGCTGAGGTGGAAGGATCGCCGGAGCCCAGCAGGTCGAGGCTGCGGTGGCCGGGAGCGGCCACTGCACTCCAGTCTGGGCGACGGAGTGAGACTCCAACTCAAAAAAAAAAAAGTTGGGATAGTGCCTTATCTGCAGGCTGCCTAGATTGAGAAATTCTGTCTTTCCCATGGCCTGACATGAAATGTAAGCAGAATACACAAACCAATTCCTGAGGAAGCCCATCACAACAAAAATGATTGAGGATTTACATTGTCAAGTCCCTAGTGACATCTTCAGCAGTTTTTCTCAATATCACTACGTCTATAGTTTGTACATACCCAGGCTGGCTTGTCTTGGTCTCCAAAAGCAGGTGAATCGTGACTTTAGGTTGTTAGGATAACTAACATTAGATTTGGAGATTTAGGATGTTAGGATAACTAACATTAGATTTGGAGACGGGTTGATCTTCTGAATCGCCATTTAGCATTTTTACACCAAAGTTAAAACTGCTATTTAAGGGATAAATGTAGATTTGTATGCTGGCTTAGGAACATAACCATTCCACAAATACTGTGCTAGGCTGCAGGTGGTAACTCAAATAATGTCATGAATAGTGCAATTACTTTGTGTCAAGCTCTGCATTTTGTTTATATTATCCAATTATTTCAATAAACTTGAAGGTAGGTGACCTACTGTTTCTGTATTAAAAATGAGGAAAATAGAAGTAACTGCCCAAAAGGTCACAGAGCTAGTAAGAGAAACTTCAGCCTTCGTAGAACAGTTAATATTACTTCAAGTTCTGCGTAATTTACAATCTCATAGAGGGTTGAGAACATGAAGCTTGGTGAACAAAGTGACTTGAAAATCAGTTTTTAGGTTTTACAAATCTCATGCATTAGCAGTGTTTTAGCCAGAAATTAAATTATTCAGCTTTTTACCCATCTTAGGCACTGGACTTTGCAAAGCCTTTTTCTCGCTATTTCTGAAACAAAGCAATTATTGGGAGAAACATTTACTACCACTACTGCTTTTCAGAAGGAAATACAAATGACAGTTGTAAAACAATGACAATTGTAAAGAACATGTTTTTCTCCTCCCCCACCCCAAGCTTTTAAGGAGACATTCATTTACGTCATAGATTTGAATACATTTATTTGAAATCCAGTTTTATAACATTCGACACTTCATTCCAAGAGTTCAAAGTGTTGGGCACATGTTATAATAAAGTATTAACTGGAAAAACTACTAAATCTGGTGGTCTACCTCCACTGTAAATTTATGAAATTCCAATTGTAAGTCAAATCATAGCTTGCTTTAAATTGTTTATTAAATCAAAATTTCAAAATTTATTCTTTATGTTTGGCTGGCTGTATCTGAGGACAAATCTTTAATGTGTTTGATTTCTTTCAGAGTCAGAATGAAGCAGTTCTTAGAAATTTAAGATGCATTTTTTTCTTGATATACAGTGTTTCTTATCAATTGTTTTCTTGGGGTAGGCTAATTTTTTGGTTAAAAATTATACCAAAGGAAAAAACTACCTTTAACAGATCTTTTTCCCCCCCAAAAGTCTGATAATTACTTTGAATAAAGAAAACCTAATTTGGGGATCTTCTAGGGAAAATGAGAATTTTCACATTGTCACAAGCTCTTAATTAGTTCAGTGAATCTTTAGAAATACCTTCCTGGAAGATTGTTACATTAGAAGTGAGTATACTTTCGTGAAATGATGAAGCAAACTCTTTTCTAACATTGCAAACATCAAAATCACAGTGAAAAACACCATTTTCCCTATGCTTATATAACACGTAGTCTTGCCAAGAATCTGCTATTGTTTTCCTTCTGTATGAAGAAAATATAGAGAAACTAAGAAAACAACTTAACTTTTTTAAACTGACAGTTTTTATACTTCCCACTGGATAAAACATGTTTAGTCATCATGTATTTTAAAGTATGAGGTTTTTGTTTTTGTGTCTACAGTGTGTTCAGAAGAGATTAAAATGTCTATTTGCTGCTCTTTTTGCTTTGACCAGTGCTAGAGCTACTACTAGCACTGGTTGGCCTAGAAGTGCTGCCTGCTGGCGAAGAGGAGGCCGAGAAGTTGAGCTCCAATATTTTAATTGAAGTCTGAGAAGCAGATGTATTTGTACTCCTAGATGACCTAGAAGAAAAACCAGAATCATTGTAAACGGAATGCAAAATCCATATTTTAGTATAGAACACTTCAAGGTTGGCAACAGATATCATAATTTTAGAAAAGATCAAAAAGTATATATTATTAGTGCTAATACTTTTTTAAATGACCATTAATAGATATCAAAAAATAATTTTAAAAAGCAAAAGAAAGATAAACATAGATGAATTTTAAACTCACGTAAAAGTAGTTTTAAAAATGTGCTACTATATGACAAAAATGTTTTCAAATATAATCCGTTTTTTAGAGTAGGAATCACTAAGTATTAAAGGTTTACCAAGATGGTGAAGTGAGAGGATTTCAGTGCAGGCAAGAGTAATTAAAATGATAGCTTTTGTCATTTCAGCTGAGGAGGAAAGTGAGCGGTGAATTGAACAATAAAGCAGTAGGGTCATTTGGAAAACAACTAGCAATACAACTCTGAAATGAAAAGTTCTTAAGATATATTTTAATGAAAGTACAGGGATGTTCAATTATGTAGAAACAATTTTTTATACTTAAACACTATCTTTTAGGGACCCTTCGTAAAATCTCTACGTGGACGAAGGAAAAGTAAATTAATAAGTAGCTGCCGAATGTAGGCGACTGGGAGTTCTAAAATCAGGATCATCATTAGCTAGGCACAGTGGCTCACGCCTGTGGTTCCAGCATCTTGGAAAGCTGAGGCAGTAGAATTGACAGCCCAGCGGGTCGAGGCCACAGTAGCCATGAGCGTGCCACTGCTCTCCAGCTTGGGCGACAGAGTAAGACTCTGACTCAAAATCAGAATCATTATTAATAAATTTTATTTCACCAGCAAAACACAAGAGTGCTGGTTAAAGCACCCTTGATGATAACATTCTGTATAACCATAAACGGTGGAAGGAAAGCAAAAAGTCTCCTTTTTAGCAAAATAAACCATCATCAGTAAATCCTGATTAGGTAAAACTTCACAATGTAGTTTTAATCACAGGTACCCTACTCCATATATCTATAAGCTATCCTTTTATGGTTTGAAAATTTTTCCCAACTTGGAATTCATCCCCAAATACTAGATGTAACCCCCAAATTTCACTTTATTTCTGCTTTGTCCTGCCGAAACAGCTGATAGTCACAAAGGACTTGCACCATAAAAAAATGGTGACCCCAGCAGAAGTCAGGAGGAAAGTCTTGCTCTACTGACTGTTCTGCATCCAATCTATGTGATGCTGACCCGATGAGATGGCCGAGGGTGAAGAGGACGCTGGAAGTGCATGGGCTGGTCTAATAGCTATGGTGATGTGGAAGTGGCTGGGTTCACTCAGGGTAGCAGCTGCCAGAGAGAAGGAGGTGCTTTTTAACAGTCCCCTTACCTTGCTGATAACAGCGAAGTGTGTGAAGGAGATCTAGAACTCTGATGACTGCCTTTAGTACCAGCTGTAGGTAGTTCTAAACCACTCTGGAGGAATATTCAAAAGTAATCATGAGTACTACTTACTGCATTTTAGAAGAAAAATATTTTCAATTAGATTTCACTTTATGATGATAGCCCTAAAAGTTTTTATTCACATGAAGTGTTTAAGAAATAATACTTAATGGAAGGTACCATATTACCTGTTGAAAGTATGTTTGAAGGATAACACGTATTTCAGCATTTTCTTCCATGACACCAACTAACATTTCATCAATGACCTTGTGAAACTGTTTCACTTCGCGAAGTTTTATGTCTTGCTCTTCTAGTGTTTCCTCTTTTGTGTCTTTCAGAAGACGGATTTCTTTTGTGAGTTTTGCACACTGTTGGCAAATAATAGCGCATAAGCCTGTTTTCCAGAATGTAGTATATTTAATGAGTGAAGGATGGTAGGGGTCTACCATTTGGAACTTCCAAGATGGAAATATGATGGGTTGATTCTTTTTTAAAAGTTTTCAATACCTGTTTAGTCACTCTTTCTAATTTTGGCTTCTGCTCCTCGGTTTCTTTACTTAGTTGAAGAGAAGATGCCTGCTTCTCTGATACTTTTTCTTTAACATTATTCACTAAATGTTCTATAACATCTAATGTATTTTCCATGCTCTGTAGAAAATAAAATATTAACATACCTACTGGTTAGAATAAAAAATGGACTTTTATAACTTGTAATTTATTGAGTATTTGTTTAATTTTAATTCATTTATTTTTGTATATAATAAACACATATTCTCTTGGTGGGTAATAGGTAGCCAGGTGCTGCACAACGACTTTTGGTCAATGACAGACTGCACATATAACAGTGGTCCCATAAGATTATAATGGAGCTGAAAAATTCCTATTACCTTGTGATGTTGTAATGTGGCACGATACATCACTTATGTGTTTGTGGTGATGCTGGTGTGAATAAAGCTGTGCCACCGATCATATGAAAGTCTAGCACATAAGTACATAATACTTGATAATGATAATAAAAACTATATTACTGTCTTATGTGTTTAATATACTATATAACTTTTTTTTATTGAGTTGTAGTCTCACTCCGCCGCCCAGGCTGGAGAGGAGAGGCACACAGATACCCCAGCGTCCACCTGCTGGGCTCTGGCCATCCTTCCACCTCAACCTTCCAAGTAGCTGAAACTACAGGCTTGCTAATATGCCTGACTTATTTATTTATTTATTTATTGTAGAGGTGAAGTCTCTCCAAGGTGCCTGGGCTGGTCTCGAACCTGTGGGTTCAGGCAATCCAGTCACCTTGGCCTCCCAAAGTGCTGGGATGATAGGGTGAGCCACTAAGCCCGGCCACTATATACTTGTTATTGTTATTTTAGGATTTACTCCTACTTATTTAAATAAATAAATAAATAAATGTAAAACAGCCTCAGGCAGATCTTTCAGGAGATATTACAGAAGAAGGCATGGTTATCATAAGAGATGACAGCTCCATTCGTGTTATTACCCCTGAAGACCTCCCAGTGGGACAAGATATGAAGGTGGAAGACCATGATAGTGATGGTTCTGAACCTGTATAGGCCTAGGTGAATGTGTGTGTCTTAGTTTTTAACAAAATGTTTAAAATGTAAAAAAAAAAAAATACTACAAAAAAGTTTATAAAATAAGCAAGAAAAGAAAGAAAATATGTGTGTGCAGTTGAACAATGTGTGTTTTTGTTTTCGTTTTAGAGACAGTCTCACTCTGTTGCCCAGGCTGAAGTGCAGTGGTACGATCTTGGCTCACTGCAGCCTCATACACCTGAACTCAAGTGATCCTCCCCCCTTGGTCCCCTGTTTGTGTTTTAAGCTAAGTGTTATTACAAATGAGTTAAAGAGTTTTTAATTTTTAAAAATTAAAAAAGTATAAAATTTAAAAGTTTCAGTAAGTTAAGGTCAATTTATTATTGAAGAAAGAAAAATTTTAAATAAATTTAGTGTATCCTAAGTGTACAGTGTTTATCAAGTCTACAGGAGGGTACAGTAATATCCTAGTCCTTCTTCACATGCACTCATTCACTCACTCACCCACCCAGAGCAACTTCCAATCCCGCAAGCTCCATTCACAGTATGTGCCCTATACAGGTGTACCGTGTTTTATCCTTTACTGTGCCTTTTCTGAGTTTAGACATACAAATACCATTGTGTTACAACTGCCTACATTATTCAGTACAGTAACATACCAGGACTAGATCTGTGTAAGTATGCTCTATGATAGTCACACAATAATGAATTCACCTAAGGATGCATTTCTCAGAACATAGCCCCATCATCAAGCAATGCATGACTTATAATGGTCTTATGGATTACATTTTGTATATAATTCCACTGGAAAGTATTTTTATGGTACTTGGGTGAAAAATGACTATTGTTGAAATCATGCAATTTTCATAGATTCACAATAACCCTTCAACTTTACTAGTAAAAGTCAGTTTTTATATAGGACCTGCTTGCCAAGCACTTTTTTTTGTCTCTTAGTGATTTGCTTTGTAACTACTGCCTACTAAAATATTTTTTCTTCCAAACTTTTTTTGTTATAAGGAAAAATCTTAATGTGATCTTTAAGGAATTAAATAAAAGTTCTTAAATAAAGGGTTAGTGAATTCAAACTAATTAAGTATGATCTATCAACTAAATACTTTGATCACTTGTTTTTCTCTCCTTTAAATGAAACTGTTATCTGTTACTATCTACTTCCTTAAAAGATGCTCTGAATAGCTATCTCCTTTGTACAAGATCAAGAGAATAAAAGTAATAATGATGAGAGTTGACTTTTATTGGGCACTTATTAGTAAAAAGCCTGTAGAATTTACCTGAATATCTTCTCGAAGTTCTCTGATTTGTCTTTGTTTGTATCTGTATTTTTCATCAATGGCTCTTTTTTCTTCTTCTAGTTGAATTTTTATCTCATATTCATCACCTAGAATTTTAAAAACTTTAGTTTAAGTAAGTACTATGTAGCAATCAATCTTAAGTGTTACATAAGTTGAACGTCTACTATTTTTGTTATCAAAAGTTAAATTCCTTATATCTACTTGTACAAAAACACTATGGGCATGTAGTAACGATTTCTTGTTTTGTCACCACAGAGCAGTAATAAGCTAATTTTTTTCAGATTTGAAATTAATTCCCTAAAGAAGTAAGTGATATGCTGTAGGCCACTAGAACTAATTATGGAAATAACACTTTAGCAAACCACTTACCAAAAAAGGTGAGGGAGAGGGAAGGAGGGAAAGAAGGGTGATTAGTTTTTCTGACTCAATTATACATGGTACATGTTTGTTCTCCATGTCTCACAGTGTTTCTTTTAACTAAACAATTTTCATTATATGTATTTATTTTAAAAGTTTTTAACTTCTACATACTAGATGGAGTTACTTTTTTAAAAGATTGTTTATAGCTGTTGTTACAGCTGTTCAGCACTTGCAGGGTATTTTCCAGAGCATAGATTTCTTTTTCAGCTTTGTTGATCTTAGCATCCAAACTGTCACCTTCCCTTTGAAGTTCTTCTTTTTCTTGAGCAGCCTATAAAGTACAGAATCAACAGGTTGAATAAAAGCATTTATCATGAGGGGAAATGTCTGTCTTTGGGGCAGAAAAAGTTAACTTGCAACAATATCGGTTTACCTTGCAGCCTGCAATGCACCAAGCATTTATTTCTTGCACTTGATTTATAGTAGAAGATCAAATCCTTAAGCCATCGAAATATGGCATATAGGACACAAAACCATGATGGAAATTTAGTAACTAACCACAGCTTACATAAAACTCTCCAGCAGAAATTGTCAAATAGTTGTCAGGCAAAACTTTACTGGAAAGAGAAACAGTGCTAACTTAAAGGAGGTTTGAAACTATGTATTGAATCAGAAGAATGTTTCTGGCCTCAAAGAGATTTAGGAACACTTTCTTATATCAAATCTTAGGAGTAAAAGAGGCTAAACAAGGTAATATATTTTACCACAATTTAAAAAATAATTTATAAAAAGATCATTGTGATAGATGTGGCTGGAAAAGATGAAGTCTATACATTGCTGAAGACAAAAATTCCTCCATGAGTGGACATACACAGTGACTTTTTCACACAGGTATATGTATATGTGTATATATATATATATATATATATATATATATAATGTGTATATATATATGCCAGAAAATTCATTTTTACTCAAAATCAACTGTAATTTCATTTTTTTTAATCCTTAGATATGAGTATTTAAGTCAGGTTGTACCCCAAAAGAAATTTATTTATTATATTTTCTATTTGTATAAGTGTATATGGTACAAGTGTAATTTTGTAACACAGATACATTGCATAGTGGTAAAGTCAGGGTTTTTAGTGGATCTATCACCACAGTATTGTAAATTATACTTATTAAGTAACCCACCCCTCTCCCCAACCCCTACCCTTCCAAGTCTCCATCGTCTATCATCATTCCATACTTTACCTTCATGTATACACATTATTTAGCTCCCATTTATTAAAATATATTCTTACTTATAAGTAGATTTTGTCTTTCTGTGTCTAAGTTATAAGTCGATTTTGTCTTTCTTATAAGTAGATTTTGTCTTTCTGTGTCAAAGTTGTTTCACTTCTGATACTGGCTTCCAGTTCCATCCAGGTTGCTGCGAAAGATAGGATTTCATTTTTTTTTATGCTTAATAGTATTCCATTGTGTATATGTACCACATTTTCTTTATTCAGTCACCTGTTGACGGATACTTAGGTTGATTTCATATCTTTGCTATTGTGAATCGTGCTGCAATAAACATGAGTCCAGGTATCTTTTGGATATAATGATTTCTGTTCTTTTGGGTAGATATCCAGTAGTGTGATAGCTGGGTCAAAGAGTAGTTCTACTTTTTGCTTCTTGAGACATTCCCACACTGTTTCCATAGAGGCTGTCCTAATTTACATTCCCATCCATAGTGTATAAGCATTCCCTTCTCTCTGCTTCTATGCCACCATCTTGTATTTTCTGTCTTTTGAATAATAGTCATTCTGATTAGTGTCAAATGACATCTCACTGTGCCTTTAATTTCCACTATCTGATGATTAGTGATGAGCATTTTTCTCATATGCTTGTTGGCCATTTGTCTTCCTTTGGAAAATGCCTATTCATGTCCTTAGCCCACTTTTTAGTGGGATTATTTGTTTTGGTTGCCATTGTTGAGTTGTTTATAAATTCTGGACATCAGTTTCCTGTGAGATGCAGTTTGTAAATATTTTCTCCCATTCTGCAGGATATCTGTTCACTTTATTGGTTATTTATTTTGCTGTGCAGAAGAGTTTTAGTTTAAATCTGTTTTTGTTTTGTTGACTGTGCTTTTGAGGTCTTAGTTATGAATTATTTGCCTAATGTCCAGAAGAGTTTTCTTACAGATTTTTATACCTTCAGGTATTAAATTTAAGTATTTAATACATCTTGAGTTGAATTTTGTAAATGGTGAGAGATGGGGATCCAGTCTAATTCTTCTGCATATGGCAATGCAATTTTCCAGCACCATTTATCAAATAGGGTATCCTTTCTCCAGTCTATGTTCTTGTCAACTTTGTCAAAGATCAGTCGGTTGTAGGTGGGTTTATTTCTGCATTCTCCATTCTGTTTCACTGATCAAGGTGTCTATTTTTATACCATGCTGGTTTAGTTACTTACTATAGTTTGTAGTATCATTTGAAGTCAGATAATGTAGTATAATTTCAAGTCAGAATTTGTTCTTTTTGCACAGGATTTCTTTGGCTATTTAGGTTTATTTGCACCCTATGAATTTGAGGATAGTTTTCTCTAATTCTGTGAAAAACAACATTGGTATTTTGAAAGGAACTGCATTAAATCTGTAGATTACTTTGGGCAGTATGGTCACCCCAACAATATTAGTTCTTCTAATCCATGGGCATAGGATGTTTTTCCATTTATTTGTGTCATCTACAATGTATTTCATCAGTGTTTCGTAGTTTTTCTTGTAAAGATCTTTTGGTTAAATATATTCCTTGGTATTTTAATTTGCCTTCTTGATTTGGTTTTTAGCTAGATTGTTATTGGTGTATAGAAATACTATAGATTTTTGTACATTGATTTTGTATTCTGAAACTTTATTGAATTCATTTATCAAATCTAAGAGTTTTTTTGGTGGAGTCTTCAGGGTTTCCTAGATATAAGATCATATCATCAGTGAACAGAGATAATTTGACTTTCTTTATTCCACTCTGGATGTCTTTAATTTCTTTATCTTTCCTTGTTGCTCTGGGAAGGACTACCAGTGCTGTGTTAAAAAGGAGCGGTGAAAGTGGGCATCCTTGTCAGGTTCCAGTTTTAGAGGAAATGTTTTCAAGTTTTCCATTCAATGTGATGTTGGCTGTGGGCTTGTCATATATGGCCTTTACTATTTTGAGGTATGTTCCTTCTATACCTTGTTTGTTGAGCGTTTTTATCATTAAAAGGTGCTGAATTTTATCAAATGCTTTTTTTTGCATCTATTGAGATGATCATACGGTTTCTGTTCTTAATTATATTTATGTGATGCATCATATGTATTGACTTGTGTTTGTTGAACCATCCTTGCAATTTCAGGTAAATTCCACTTGATCATATGTATTATCTTATTAATGTGCTCATATTTCCTTACATTTTGTTGAGGATTTTTGCATCTATGTTTATCAGAGATATTGATTTGTAGTTTTCTTGTGTCCTTGTCTGGCTCAATCTACTTTTTTGATGTAGGCATTCAATCCTATAAGTTTCTATCCTACCACTGTTTTTGTTATATACCACATGTTTTGGTATATTGTTTCCATTTTCATTCATTTCAAAACATTTTCAATTTCCATCTTTCTTTGTTTTGTTTTGTTTTAGTCAGGGTCTCACTTTTGCCCAGGCTAGAGTGCAGTGGCATGATCACAGCTCACCATAGCCTAGACTTCCTGGGCTCAGGCAATCCTTCTGCCTCAGCCTTCCAAGTAGCTGGGACTACAAATGCATGCCGCACAGCCTGGATCTTTTTTTTTTTAACATTTTTTATTTTTTAGTAGAGATGAGGTCTCATTATGTTGCCTAGGCTGGTCTCTAACTCTTAGGCTCAAGCAATCTTCCCACCTCAGTCTCCCAAAGTGCTAGGATTACAAGTATGAGCCCCCATGCCTGGCCTCTATCTTCATTTCTTTGTTAACCCAGTGGTCATGCAGGAGCATGTTGTTTAATTTCCATGTATTTGTATAGTTTTTTTGTTCTTGTTGTGTTTTTTGAGTCAGAGTTTCATTTTTTTGCCCAGGCTGGAGTGCAGTCGCACACTCACAGTCATCGCAGCCTCGACCTGCTTGGCTCAGGCAATCCTTCTACCTCAGCCTTCTAAGTAGCTGGAATTACAGGCATGTACCACCACGCCCAGTTAATTTTTTTGATTTATTGTAGAGACGAGGTCTCGCCAAGTTGCCCAGACTGGTCTCAAACCCCTGGACTCAGGCAATCCTCTTGCCTCAGCCTCCCAAAGTGCTGGGATTACAGGCTTGAGCTCCTGTGACTGGCCAAGTTTTAAAAGTTTCTATGAGTATTGATACCCAGTTTTATTCTGCTGTGATCTAAGAAGATACTTGATATGACTTTGATTTTTAAAAAATTTCTTGAGACTTGTTCTGTGGCCTAACATGGACTATCTTGGAGAATATTCCATGTGCTGATGAGAAGAATGAATATTCTGTAGTTGTTGGGTAGAATTTTCTTTAGATGTTTATTAGGATCATTTGGTCTAAAGTGCAGTTTAAGTCCAATGCTTCTTTGTTGATTTTTCTGTCTCAGTGATCTGGCTAGTGCTATCAGTGAGGTACTGATGTCTCCTACAATTATTGTATGCCATCTGTGTCTTTCTTCAGGGGTAGTGATATTTGCTATATGAATCTGGGTGCCCTGGTGCTAGTACATATATATTTAGAATTGTCATAACCTTTTGCTGAATTGATCCTTTTCATTAAATAATGACCTTTGCCTTTTTAAACTGTTTTTTATTTTAAAGTCTGCTTTATCTGATATACATATAGTTACTCCTGCTAGCTTTTGGTTTCCATTTGCATGGAATATCTTTTTCCACTCCTTTACTTTCCAGCCTGTGTCTTTTACAGGCAAAATGAGTTTCTTATAAGCAGTACATAGTTGGATCATGTTTTTTGTTTCTTTGTTTTTTTAAGTGGGGCATATAATTTATTATGTTCTAGGTTAATATTAATATGTGGGATTTTGTTTATGTCATATTCAATTTGTTTTCCTCTGTTATCTTTGTGGTTTAGTGGAATTCTGTTTTGTTTAAATTTGATTCCCTTTTCTTCCTCCTGTGTGTGATTGTTTTATGAGACTTGTGAGTTTTATACTTTCATGTGCCTTCATAATGGTGAATATCAACCGTTTGTTTCTATGTTTAAAACTCCTTTAAGCATTTCCAGTAGAACCAGTCTAGTGGTGATAAATCCCCTCAGTATTTGCTTGTCTGGGTATTACTGCTTCATTTATGAAGCTTATTCTTGCTGGATGTAAAAT